GCCCCATTACTATATTGCATTTTAATTATATGAGAGAACTTCTAAAAGTATGTCGAACAATGAAATTAAAAGATAAGTTTATTTTGGTGCAAAAAAATTGAAAATTATAGATTTTTTTCTTTTTTTAAGATTTATTTTATTTATTTGAAAGAATTAGAGGAAGAGACAGAGAGCGAGAGAGAGAGAGATCTGGTTCACTCCCCAGATGGCTGTAATAGCCAGGGCTGGGCCAGGCAGAAACCAGGAGCCAGGAGCCAGGAGTTTCTTCCAGGTTTCCCACATTAGTGCAGGTACCCAAGGACTTAGGCCATCTTCCACTGCTTTTCCCAAGCCATTAGCAGGGAACATCCAGGACACAAACTGGTACACATAAAGGGACTGGCATTGCAAACAACAATTTTAACCGCTAAGCCACAAGGTCAGTCCTAGATGGTTTTTCCCCTTTTTTAAAATTATTTATTTCATCATTTATTTATTTATTTGAAAGACAGAGTTACACAGAGAGAGAAGGAGAGATGGAGAGATGGAAAGAGAGAGAGAGAAAGAGGGAGAGAGCGAGCTTTCATCACTGGTTCACTCCCCAATTGGCTGCAAAGGCCGGAGCTGCGTCGATTCGAAGCCAGGAGCCAGGAACTTCCTCCGGGTCTTCCCTCACGGGTGCAGGGGCCCAAGGACTTGGGCCATCTTCTACTGCTTTCCCAGGCCACAGCAGAGAGCTGGATCGGAAGCGGAGCAGCCAGGATTAGAACCAGCACCCATATGGGATGCCGGCACTGCAGGCAGCAGCTTTACCTGCTACGCCATAGTGCCAGCCACTGTTTTTTTCTTAATAAATTTTCCATGAGCTTTTTGAAGGCTCATATTTTATCTGTTGCATTGCTGCATAGTACTAGTTTTCAAAATTAATTAAACATTAGCAAAATATTAAATATAAGAGATTGTCTTGGAGCCAACATCATGGCACAGTGGATCAAACTGCTGCTTGTGACAATGAAATCCCATATCAGAGCACCAGTTCTAGTCCTGGCTGCTGTGCTTCCGATCCAGCTCCCTGCTAATGCACCTAGGAGGCTCAAGTGCTTGAGCCACTGCCATTGCCATTGCCACCCATGTGGGAGAACAGGATGGAGTTCTTGGCTCCTGGCTTTGGCCTTGCCCAGCCCTGGCTGTTGCAGCCACATGGGGAGTAAACCAGCAGGTTAAGATTGTGTTCTATCTCTCCCTCTCTATCACTCTGCCTTTCAAGATCAGACGAGATCGGGCGCGTTCAGGGTGGTATGGCCGTAGACGCCAATCCTTTCAAATAAAATAAATCTTAAAAAAATTGTCTTATAAAATAGAATGGGGGGCCAGCCCTATGGCATAGCAAGTAAAGCCGCTGCCTGTAGTGCCAGCATCCCATATGGGCACTGATTTGAGTCCCAGCTGCTCCACTTCTGATCTAGCTCTTTGCTATGGCCTGGGAAAGCAGTAGAAGATGACCCAAGTCCTTGGGCCCCTGCACCTGCATGGGGGACCTGGAAGAACCTCCTGGCTCCTGACTTCAGATTGGCCCAGCTTCAGCCATTGTAGCCATTTGGGGAGTGAACCAGTAGATGAAAGACCTTTCTCTCTCTGTCTCTGGTTCTGCCTCTCTGTAACTCTGCCTTTCAAATAATAAATAAATCTTAAAATAATAGGTTTTGTTACAAATTGTGTATTTAGTTCATAGGAGAAAATGTTTTGTTAGCCACCAAATTCTTAAAATATATTTAAATTGGGGCCAGTGCTGTGGCTCACTTGGTTAATCCTCCGCCTGTGGCGCTGGCATCCATTATGGGCGCTAGTTCTAGTACCGGTTGCTCCGCTTCCAGTCCAGCTCTCTGCTGTGAATCGGGAGTGCAGTGGAGGATGGCCCAAGTGCTTGGGCCCCTGCACCCGCATGGGATACCAGGAAGAAGCACCTGGCTCCTGGCTTCTGATCAGCACAGCGATGGCCGTGGCGGCCATTTGGGGAGTGAACCAACCGAAGGAAGACCTTTCTGTCTCTCTCTCTTACTGTCTATGACTCTACCTGTCAAATTAAAAAATATATATATTTAGATTAATTTTGAAAAACATTCATGGAAAATACTAATATTGATTATAAATCAAGACTGAATATTTGTTTTCTAATGCTTTGATACAGGTTGAAAAGTATAATGTAAATCAGGATGAAAATATTTATGTATGAGGATATTTCAAAAAGTTCATGGAAAAGTAAGCTCTTCATTTCATCGCCCATGAATTTTTTTGGAATACTCTCATAGATTTGATTGTCAGATGGGTTTAGCAATGAGCTAGTTAAGAATCTTCATATGAGGTTTTTGTTTTCTTTTTCTTGTTTAAAATATTTATTTACTTCTCATTTTATTGAAACACACACACAGAAGGAGAGAGAAAGAGAAAAAAACAAAACAAAACAGATTTTCTATTCACTTGTTCAATCCCAAATGCTTTCAACAGCCAGGGATGGGCCAGGATAAAGCCATGAGCCTGGAACCCAGTCTGCATCTCCCCTGTGGGTGTCAGGGACACAAGTACTTGAGTCATCATTCACTGCCTTCCAGAATGCACATTAGCAGGAAGCTGGATTGGAAACAATATATTCAGAACTTAAACCAGGCAATCCAATATGGGAAGCAGGTGTCCCAAGTGGCATTTTAACCACTGTGCCAAACACTGGCCCCTTTTCATCTTTTCAATAGAAATTCACTAGAAAAGAACTTAGAATAAAAGGGAGACTTTCAGGAAGCAGTTTGTCGACTGAGTGGGCATAATCTTGGGTTTGAAAGGAAATTGTGATGGGGGGGAAGCCATTGTAATCCATAAGTCGTACTTTGGAAATTTATATTCATTAAATAAAAGTTAAAAAAAAAAAAAAAAGGAAATTGTGGCCGGCGCCGCGGCTCACTAGGCTAATCCTCCGCTTTGCGGCGCCAGCACACCGGGTTCTAGTCCCGGTCAGGGCACCGGATTCTGTCCCGGTTGCCCCTCTTCCAGGCCAGCTCTCTGCTGTGGCCCGGGAGTGCAGTGGAGGATGGCCCAAGTCCTTGGGCCCTGCACCCCATGGGAGACCAGGATAAGTACCTGGCTCCTGCCATCGGATCAGCACGGTGTGGCGGCCATTGGAGGGTGAACCAACGGCAAAGGAAGACCTTTCTCTCTGTCTCTCTCTCTCACTGTCCACTCTGCCTGTCAAAAAAAAAAAGACAGGACCCAGGAGCTTCACCTGGGTCTCCTATGTGGGTGCAGGGGCCTAAGTACCTAAGTACTTGAGACATATTTTGCTGCTTTTCCCAGGCCCTTTGCAAGGAGCTGGATCAGAAGCTGGCAGGAGTTGAACTAGTGCCCAGATGGATGCCAGTGTCACAGGCAGCGGCTTAACCTGCTGTCCCACAACACAGACCCCTACAATTTCCTTTTTTTTTTTTTTTAAAGATTTATTTATTTATTCATTTGAAGGGAGAGTTACAGAGAGGCAGAGGCAGAGAGAGAAGTCTTCCATCTGCTGGTTCACTCCCCTGGTGGCTGCAATGGCTGGAGCTGCACTGATCCAAAGCCAGGAGCCGAGAGATTCCTCTGAGTCTTCCATGTAGGTGCAGGAGCCCAAGGACTTGGGCCATTTTCTGCTGCTTTCCCAGGCCATAGCAGAGAGCTGGATCGGAAGTGGAGCAGCTGGGACTCAAACCAGTGCCCATATGGGATTCTGGTACTGCAGGTGGCAGCTTTACCTGCCACAGCACTGGCCCTGAAAGAACTGTTTTTTAAAAGAAAGTTTCAGCCCAGATTCCCATTCACATCTGCTATGCAAATGAGGGATGCAGGCTTTCTGGGAAAATGCTAAGCCTTGATTGGCTAACTTTTAAAACTGACTGCTGGTCACAATTCATTGGCCACGTCTGATGACGAAATGGGACTTTTCAGAGGCTGTTTGTCTCGGCAGTTCAGGCAGGAACATGCTCAGGCAAAGGCCACAAAGTAATTTTTCCAGGAACGTGGAACATAACACAGTATGTGTGTTACTTTTAGTTAGCAAACAGCTCAGCTCCATTTTGAATTTTAGGCCCATTTTGCTACTTAAGGTCTATCCTGATGATTCAGCTTTTTCCAGAATTTGCATTGTTTGTTTGAGATTTAATTACTATAGGAAAAAAACAAATCAGATAATATTTTCAGGAACATTTTCTAGATATGTTCATCCATTTAAGTATATAGCCTTTTTGGTCATATGCTTATCTCAAAAGTTTAAAAATTATTACAGTTAGAGGTCGGTGTTGTGGAGTAGTGGGTAAAGCATCCCATATGGGCACCAGTTTGAGTCCCAGCTGCTCTACTACTGATCCAGCTTCCTGCTAGTGGCCTGGGAAAGCAGTGGAAGATGGCCCAATTACTTGAGCCCCTGCCATCCATATGGGAGACCTGGAAGAAGCTCCTGGTTCCTGACTTCTGTCTGTCCCACTCCTGGCTGTTGCAGCCATTTGAGGAGTAAAGCAGCAGATGGAAGATTTTCTCTGTCTCTGTAACTCTGACTTTCAAATAAATAAATCTTTTATATAAATATATATATATATTTTTAAAGATCTATTTATTTATTTGAAATTCAGAGTTACATAGAGAGGAGAGGCAGAGAGAGAAAGAAAGAGAGGACTTCCATCCGATGGTTCACTCTCCAGTTGGCTACAATGGTTGGAGCTGCGCCAATCCGAAGCTGGGAGCCAGGAGCTTTTTCCAGGTCTCCCACGTGGTTGCAGGGGCCCAAGGACTTGGGCCATACCATATAGATTAGGTATTAAAGAGAATTGAATTTTTATTTAAGGCTTAAGGTATAGGTGTGTGTGTGTGCATACTTCTTATGTTGTTTAGCAAAATTTCAAATTGGATATCTCCTCAGCCATTTTGGACCTTTTGAGTGGGTAGTCTGTTATATTTCTGACTATTAACTTTGATTCATCAATAATTCATTTTTTTCCTATTAACAGAGATAAAAGCAACTGTGCTTGATGACTGCAAGAAAGAAGGCGAATGGAAGGTAGACTTTACAAAATTGCTTATATTGGGGGCTTCAGTATACTATTACCCTTACAATGCATTTATATGAATATAGGGTCTACAAGCGTACTGCTTGCCTTCAAATCCTAACTTCACCACGTGATAGCTGTGGCTCCTTGGGCAATCTACTTCACCTTTTCTCTGTCTCTGTGTCTTGTCTGTAAAATGGGGATGGTAATACCATATATGGTAGTTGTAAATATTAAGTTGAATTAATTCATGTAAATTGCCTAAAACAGTACTTGGAATAGTAATTATTCTATAAGTGGCAGTTTATAATTTTAAGAAAATTTGATGTTAAGCAATATACATTTTTTAAGATTTATTTTTATTTATTTGAAAGAGTTACAGAGTGAGGTAGAGCTGAGAGATCGAGAGAGAGGGAGAAAGATCTTCCATCTGCTGGTTCACTCCCCAAATGACTGCAATGGCCAGAGCTGAGCTGATCTGAGGCCAGGAGCCAGGAGCTTCTTCCAGGTCTCCCATGTGGGTGCAGGTGCCCAAGGACTTTGGCCATTTTCTACTGCTTTCCCAGGCCGTAATAGAGAGCTGGATTGGAAGTACAGCAGCTGGGACTCAAATCAGTGCCCATATGGGATGCCGGCTCTGTAGGCCACAACACTGGCCCCACACATAATATACATTTAAAATGAATGTAGCTCTCTGCTTTGAAGAGTGATGGTGGGGCAGAGATGGGGTTGGATCTTCTATCTACTGATTCACTCCCTTAATGCCTGCAACAGCCAGGGTTGGTCCAGGCAAAAGCCAGGAATTGGGAACTCCATGTGGACCTTCCACATGGGTTGCAGGAACCCAACTACTTGAGCTATCATCTGCTACCCTCCCAGGCGCATTAGCAGGATTGCAGGTGGAGGAGCTGGGACTTGAACCAGCACTCCTGTATGAGATGTGGGCAACCCGGGGCCGGCGCTGTGACGCAGCAGGTTAAAGCCCTGGCCTGAAGTGCCAGCATCCCATATGGGTGCTGGTTCTAATACCGACAGCTCCTCTTCTGATCCACCTCTCTGCTCTGGCCTGGGAAAGCAGTAGAGGAGGTCCCAAGTCCTTGGGCCCCTGCACCCACATGGAAGACCCGGAAGAAGTTCCTGGCTCCTGGCTTCAGATCGGCACAACTCTAGTTGTTGTGGCCATCTGTGGAGTGAACCAGCGGATGGAAGACCTTTTTCTCTGTCTCTACCTCTCTGTAACTCTGTCTTTCAAATAAATAAAATAAATCTTAAAAAAAAAAAAAGAAAAAGAAAAAGAGATGTGGGCAACTCAAGCAGCAGTTTAACCTACTATGCCATAAGGCTGGCCCCCAAAATTGAAATTATTTTATTTGCATATATATACATATATATATGCGTATATATACACACACACACATACTGAAAGAATAAATCTCAGATCATGCAACTTAAAAGATGAGTTGTGATCATTTTGCCAATGTTCTAATATTTTAGTTTTATGTCAAATTATAAATTTGAGTAGGCTTAATAGATAAAATTTTGTATTTGAACATTCTTGGCAATCAGATGCTAATTCTGTTTCTTAATTTGTATTTGTTTTAAGATAATGCTTTTAGATGAATTTACTACTAAGCTTTTGGCATCATGTTGCAAAATGACAGATCTTCTAGAAGAGGGTATAACTGGTAAGTATTACTCATTTTCATCCTGAAAACTTTTTTATTGTGATTGAGAAGGTTTGAAGTATTAAATTATGCTTAGTAATTGTGTTTCTGAGGAATTTTTTTTACTCTAGCCATAACAATTAGATTTGACATTCTTTGTGAATCTTTAATCTCTTACATTTGTATTTTTTTTCCTGAACATAGACATAATATTTATAGCATTTGATTATTAGAGGATAATTATTTTTTTTCACATTTTAAGCTTTTATTTAGTGTGAAAGAGGCATAGGAGAGTGGGAGCTTTATCTAAGAGAGAGAGGTAAATCTGGGTTCATACCGAGCACCAGGAACCAGCCACGGATAGGAGCATCTAGGCCAGGAAGCCTAGGGCAGGTGGCCCGGAGGCACAGGGCTACAGCCAGCCCCCTCCTGGCAAGAGGCTAGGGAAAGGGTGGGACAGACTGTGTCCCAGGTTTTTAACCCACTTCCAAAGGGGAGTGGTTAATTAACCTGATTGACTGGTGGGCACCCAGGTGCGACCAGGTAGGAGCATGAGGTCACACAGGGGCGTGGTGAAGGTGTGGTCTTCCAACTCACAAACCTAATCTATTTTAACCTGTATGCCTGCCTACTTCATTCCCCCTTCAGAGACTCCATCCCCTTATTCCTAAGGGGAGTTGATGGACGTCAAATCATCTCTTCTGTAACTGCTTCCTGCTTATGAGGGGCGTAGTGCAGGCCCTGCCTATCCAGGGTCTGGAAGTCTCTGCCTATCCTATCTAATAAATTTGCTTTTGTGAGCTGGAGCAGTCTTGGTCATTGCCAGCATCTGTGTCCCCTGCATGGTCAGTTACTTCCAGTTCTGAAACATGTAAGATTGTTAATTAGCATAAGTAAAACTAGAACAAAACCAATTATAAGTTGGGTGCCCCTTTAGATGAAAACAACATATCTTACAGATTCCCAGATAGTGGGTAGTGATAGACTACCCTTATGTAGATTATAAACCCATTTAGCTTGAGCATAGAGAATTATAATAGAAGAACTCATTAGGTAGCTTTAGATAATTCATTTTGACTATTATACAATGACATGAATTGAACCTTAATGTTTTAGAAGTAAAATTATAATTCTTGGAGATTTAGATATAAAAATTCAATTTGTTTCCTGGAAATCTTATTTAATATCTTATTTAATAGTAGCCAGGGAAAACCTACACATTACTAGACTACATGAAAATAAAGTCACCATTTTTAAAAAAGATTTATTTATTTTTATTTTATTTGAAAGGCAGAGTAGCAGAGAGGGGGGGTGTCCTTCCATCTATCTGATAGTTCATTCCCCAGATGGCTGCAGTGGCTGGAGCTGGGCCAAACTGAAGGCAGGAGCCCAGAGCTTCCTCTAGGTCTCCCATGTGGGTGCAGGGGCCCAAGCATTTGGGTCATCTTCCAATGTTTTCCCAGGTGAATTAGCAGGGAGCTGGGTCGTAAGTGGAGCAGCTGATACTTGAACAGGCGCTCATATGGGATGCCAACACCATAGGCAGAGGCTTAACCTTCTATGCCACAGCAACAGCTCCTAAAGTCACCATTTTTAAAAGAGAAACCCAACAGTCACTTCCCTTACATATAAATTTTCTTTTAAGATTTATTATTTATTTGAAAGGCAGAGCGACAGAGAAAGAGAGAGAGAGAGAGAGATCTTCCATTTGCTGATTCACTCCCCAAATGAACCACAATGGCCAGGGCTGGAGCAGGCCAAAGCCAGGAGCGTGGAACTCCTGTGAATGACAGGGGCCCAAGCACTTGGGCCATTTTCTGCTGCTTTCCCAAGCCACAGCAGAGAGCTGGACTGGAAGAGGAGAAGCCAGGACTAGAGCCTGTGCCCACATGGGATGCCGGCACCGCAGACGAAGGATTAACCTACTGTGCCATGGCGCCAGCCCCATACATTTAGTTTTAAATAGTTAATTTGGCAACTAGAGTTTATTAGTTTAGTATTCATTTTGTTTTATAGTAGATAATTTTATAATCATGTCAAATAATAAAAAATTGAATTCTAGTAGTATTTTATTGAAAATATATAAATATTAGTGTGTGGTTATAAAAGAATAAGAATTATTTGGCAGTTATTTAAAGAATGTTATAGTAACTAAAAACTTTGTCCCCAGAGTTGGGCAGATCTGGGTTGGAAGCCTGCCTATGCTATTTTCTGTGTGTGATTGGGCATATTACGTAACTCCTTTAGCCTCCATTTCCTCTTTGGAAAATATTGATAGCATTATTTTGAGATTTAATAAGCAATTCACGTAAGTATTTATCTAAGTATATCTTGTGGCATATTTGCTATTACTTTAGTAGAATGTTTTTTAAAAGGACATATTTTAAATTTTATTTCATTTTCTTGTTTTTTTATTTAACTGCATGTTGATTGCATGTGTTGGTACACCTACCTGTCTGAAATAACTGCTTCATCTCTTTTTCTCATGAGGGGGCAATTTGGTCCAGAGTTTAGCCTCATCAGGGAAGATACATTTTCAGAATTTTTATCAAATGAGGATAAAGAAAATGTTAGACATAATATATATAAATATGTTTCCCTGTTATTATAAATGGAAAGTACAATAAAGTTTATTTAAAGTTACTTCAACTATATAAATATTTGCTTATACAAAATTACCTTTTTTTGTTAGTTGTGGAGAATATTTATAAAAACCGTGAGCCTGTCAGACAAATGAAAGCTCTTTATTTTATCTCTCCAACATCAAAGGTGAGTATTTTGAGTCTTTAAGAAAGTAAATTCTTCAATATTTTCACGATTATCGTAGTTTGCTGATGGAAAATTCAAAGTAATAAAATATCTTTTATTAGAAATATATTGCAGTAAACTAGTTTGTTTATGAAATTTCTGTTTCATAAGATTGTTTTATTTGCCCTTTTTTCAATGAGAATGTATAAATGAAAAAATTTCTTTTTCCCCCATTTATGAAAGCAGAATTCAATTACATGAAATCATACTTTCTTCACATAATTTATTACCCATGCCATTCTTGTTGAACCATAATTTAGTAAAAGAATGGAAATGTAGGTAAAAGAAATAGTCTTGGATTATCCTTCATCTTAGTGACTACCCTACAGCATGTAAGTGTATATGTGTATACATGTATATGGATGAATGTGTGTGTATTATGTCAAGGTAATTTCTCCAGTTTATAGTATGGATAGTTTATACTTTAGGCCCAGAGTCAAATAAGATATCATATTTCTTTAAGCTGTGCAATATCTGAGAGTGAATTTTCCAGCACCTCTTCTACTTATTCCTATCTGGAATGTTAGTTTGGCAATTTCAGTTTCATTTCACTTCTAACTCTAGCAGCCAATAGTTACAATAGCAAAAAAAAAAAAAAAAAAACCTAGCATGGTATTTGTTAGTCTTTGCCTACTGGTTGCTGGTGCAAAGAGAGGGTTTTACTGACTTTTTTTAATCTTATCTATGATATTTCATAAAAGAAAATTAGTGATTGAAAGCTAGCAAATTAAAAGGACTAATTTCATCTAGCAAATTGGTAGAGAAATTTAAAAGATGAATGTATCATAATCTAGGTAGTCTAGCTATCAGTGGGTAATGGAGCAGAAAATAATGGGAATATAGATTGATAGAAACTTTTTGGAAAATAATTTACCATTCTTTATCAAGAACCTCAAAATGTTTTGTATTTTGGAGTTTATTGCAAGGAAACAATAAAATACATTATATAATTATAATTATATCAAATTATATTCCAAGCAATAAATAAATCCAACTGATGTGAAAGACTATCTGGTCATTAAAAATGTTTTAGAATTTTAATAAAATTTTGTTATTTTTGTTGTTTATTATTGTTTATTAAAACATTTTTATTTAAAAATGTTCATTTTAATGTTAGGTGACAAAAGCAGGCAGAATACAAAGTTGTATCTGTATATTCAGTGAAAGAGCAAAGAATTCCCAGAAGATGGTTTCTGAATGTAATTCCAACTTCCAGAGAAAGGAAGTTTATTTAGTAAACGAAGAAGACACATATATAGCAGAATAGAACTGCTGAAAGAGAAAGGTGACCACCTGAACAGAAGAATAGTATACATAGGGGAAATTTAATATGGTGTAGAAAACACTTTCTGAAACTTAAAAGTGTGATTTATCAAGCAGTTATTGGAAGGAGAGAATTACCACTATTGAGTACTGACCTCAGAATGGAGTGTCTCAAAGTGGGGGAAAAAAAGCTTAGAAATCATGAGGGAAAAGATAAGAGACTTGCAGGATAAATCCAGGAGCCTTAATAGAAATACAGTTCTAGGAGTTTCAGAAGAAAAAAAAGAACTAATGGAGGAGCAATGATTCTTTGTTGTTCATTTTTGTGTCTAGATAATTATTTACTTCCTTCCTTCGATCCCCTCATTAAGGCACATACTGCTGACTGTATTCCCTGCTGGTCTTCCTTCGTACAGTCACCTACCAAGCTCTGGGCTCTCATTCTAACCCTTGACAACTTTAGCACCAGTGGCTCACTGTCATTCCCAGTCATAAGTCTAAGTGGTTTCATTGTCCATGTAGACAGATGATCCTTTCAGTTTGTTGGCTTCTCAGTTCCTCAATCAGTTATTTTCCAAGAGTCTTCATGTTCCTTTAACTTTCCTAGATTTCTTCATTGCCAATAATAGTAACTTATTTATATTACTTTACTGCTTATTACTTTTCCACGTAAGATGTTATTAGCAGTCACTAGCTAGAGAACATAGCATCTTAAAAAAAAAAGCAGTTTAAGTTAAACATTTAGCCAGTAAGGTTTTATTTTATCGTTGAAGTAAGTTGGTATTAGTTATTTTAAAAGCTAGCATATTTAAATTAGTATTTAATAAAATACATATTAACATCTAACCTTTTTTAAGTCTGTAGATTGTTTCTTACGTGATTTTGCAAGTAAATCAGAGAACAAATATAAAGCAGCATATATATACTTCACTGACTGTAAGTCTTTTTCAAAATTATTGCCTCATTTTTTTCTATTAATTTTAAATAATCTACTTTTATAAAACTCTTCTAGTGACTTTATCCCTATCATTTATTACAATTAAGCTAGAAAGAATCTAAAATTCAAAGATTTTATCAATCCTAATTCATGTTAAGGTGATAGAAAATTAAAGGAAACCCCTCCCAGCTATTGTAAAAAGATAGCTGTAGGGCAGGCGTTTTGGCCTACCAGTTAAGCTGCTGACTGGAATGCCTGCATCCCATATCTGAGCACCTGGGTATGAGTTCAGCTGCACGCTTACTCCAGCTTCCTGCTAATGGACACCCAGGAGGCAGCAGGTAATGGCTCAGGTAGTTGGGTCTCTGCCACTTCCTTGGGAGAACTGGATTGAGTTCCTAGCTCCTGGCTTTCTCTGGCTCTACTGTGGCTACTGTGGGCATTTGGGTAGTGAGTCAGTGCGTGGGAACTCCATGTGTATGTCTGTCTGTCTTTTGCCTCTCAAATTACAAAAAAAGAGAAAGAGTTGTTTTTGCTGGTGTAGTTGAGTGGAGGTTGATGAAAAGGGCTGTTCCTCACATCATCTGCTGGTGCACTAATGTTTTAATTTTTAATTATTTGAGAGGCAGAGACAGAACTGCTTTCCACTGGTTTACTCCCCAAATGCCCCCAATAGCTAGGTCCCAAGCTGGGAGTGGGAAACTCAATCCAGATCTCCCATGTGAGTGGCAGGAACACACTTACTTGAGCCTTTACTGCTGCTTCCTAGGGCTGTATAAGCAAGAAGCTGGAATCAGGAGTCAGAGCCAGATATTAAATCAAGGCACTGTGATACAAGAACTTCTGAAGCACGATAGTTTATTAAGTCATGAATTTGGGCATGATTTTTTCTTAACAGTGTTAGTGTGCTCCATTAGAGGGTCTCTAAGGAAATATGTCTGAGTTTTTAGTGGGTATAAATGGGGAAAATAGCATTTCTGTTATAGCACTTTTGTCTTGAATATACCTGCTCTGTAAAAAAATATATATATTCCTATAAAATCTCTCTTCCCATAGTAAATTACATTGTGAGATCCAGTAATTATATATATATGAAATAAATATTCTTTTTTACTCACAAGAAATAAAGAATTAGATGGAGTTAACACGTTTTTTTTTTTTCCTTCCCAGTTTGCCCTGATAGTCTTTTTAACAAAATTAAGGCTTCTTGCTCCAAATCAATAAGAAGATGCAAAGAAATAAATATTTCCTTCATCCCACATGAATCCCAGGTACTTTTAATTTTAATTCATTATAAATTTTCAAATTTGGTTTTATGAGCCTATTTGTTAATAAGATGTATTCTAAGGTATTTTTAATATATATATATTTGGTGAATTTTGAACCTAATCCACAAATTAACATTCTCCATGATGAAGGAAGGAATATGAGCAGTGAATTAGAATATGATATTAATTATAAAAAATAATGCTTAAACTTCCAATTACTAGCTACCAAGTCCAGTATATGTCAGATAACAGCACTACTAGATAATTAAATCAAAAGGTTTTTTAGCATGATAAGTACTTCATTTGATTTATGTGATCATTTGTGATATTAAAATAAATATTAATAACTATAATATCATTTAAGGTATCATTTATTTTTATTTATAAATGAAGATTTTTTTTTTAAAGTTTGTTTTACATTTGGGACAATTAATAGCCCTTCAGTTATTAATATCAGTGGTGATAGTAGCAAACACACACATAGTGCTGTGTGTCAGATGCTTTTAAGAGTACTTTACGTAAATGTATTCATTTAATTCAAACAATATTTCCATAAATAGGTGGTATTTATATCTTTATTTTAAAGATCAAGAAATCAAAACGGTTAAATAACTTGACCCAAGTCACAAAGCAAGTGAATTATTTAGCTTTATTGTGCTCAGTTTCCCGTGTTTAAATTCTAACACTTCATAGAATTGAAATAGCTTACTGTTTAGAACTATAAGGGCAATATTTTAAGAGCTAAAAAGAAGGAAATTGAAATCCCTACATAAGGGGTTTTTAAAATTATTTTTTGATAAATATTGGAAACCAAATTGTAAAATACTGAGATAACTGCTTGATGTTAAACTCTTTTCCAGAAGTTAACATTAGACTTACACTTTAATATGATATGTAAGTTTAATGTAGGGTAAAAAAAGTCTTGCTGAAATCAAGTGGGATATTAGTAGTAACATGATGAATGTTGCATTTCCAAAGCATCTTGCTTCACACTAGATACTTTTAGCCCAAGAATTTATGGAATTCTGCGATTTCTGTATTTAAGGATTTGTGTAAATACCTAACTAATTTGATGGCTCATGGAAATACTATGTCTTTGCAGCCGGCACCGCGGCTCAATAGGCTAATCCTCCACCTGCGGTGCTGGCACACCGGGTTCTAGTCCCAGTCAGGGCACCAGATTCTGTCCCAGTTGCCCCTCTTCCAGGCCAGCTCTCTGCTGTGGCCCGGGAGTGCAGTGGAGGATGGCCCAAGTCCTTGGGCCCTGCACCCCATGGGAGACCAGGAGAAGTACCTGGCTCCTGGCTTCAGATAAGCGCGATGCGCCATCCGCGGTGGCCATTGGAGGGTGAACCAACGGCAAAAGGAAGCCCTTTCTCTCTGTCTCTCTGTCTCTCTCTCACTGTCCACTCTGCCTGTCAAAATAAATAAATAAATAAAATAAAAAGAAATAATATGTCTTTGCATGTTTAGAGAAATGTTTTGGCAGTTATTTCCTACCTGTCTTTGTGAAATGTGATTATGTAAGGTTTTGTCTGTTTTTTCCTATGATGAGCTTTTTCCTTTTTTTTTTATTTGACTTTTTTTTTTTTAAGATTTTTATTTATCTATTTGAGAGGCAGAGTTACAGAAAGAGAGGAAGAGACAGAGAGAGAGATCTTCCATCTGCTGATTCACTCCCCAAATGGCTGAAACTGCCTGAGTGAGGCCAGGAGCTTCTTCGGGGTCTCCCTCACATGTTCAGGGGCCCAAGCACTTAGGCCGTCCTCTATTGCTTTCCCAGGCTATAGCAGAGAACTGGGTGGGAAGAGGAGCAGCCAGGACATGAACTGATGCCCATATGGGATGCAGAGGCAGAGGCTTAGCCTACTATGCCACAGCGCCGGCCCCCGAGAAGTTTTTTCTATTAATTTACTTCCTTGATAAACATCTTCAGATGTCTTAATTAATTACCTTTTGGAGAAATTAAAATGAAAAGATTTTGGATTTTTCTTTGTGTGTGAAGTTAAAAATGGAATGATACTAAGTGCTTTGAGATGTGAGGTAAGTCCTATATGAACATTACACATTCAGTGTATATTGTCTGCCAGATGCAAAGCATCTTCTGTGAAAAGATGAGCAAGATAAAAGCCTTGTCCTCAGTTTGAATACTGTAAGAGATACAGAATATTAAACATCGTCAAACCAGAATCAATTAGGATTAGTTTAAATTGCATATTACAGAAAAATCTGAATTTTCAGTGGCCTAAACAATGTGGAAACTTATTTCTTGCTGATACAAAAGTAATTAAGAGGGCTATCTAAGACTGCGATGCTGCTCTACAAAATTATCAAGGGCCTAGTCTTCTTGGCGTGGCCCACATGATCCAAGATGCATGTGGAATCATTACATCCTTATCTGAAGATTCAAGGTGAAAGAGAGAGCAAGGAATTTTCATGTATATCTCATTAGCTAAAATGTGGTCACATGACTGTGCCTAAGCACATGGGACACTGGGAAATGTAGTTTTTTAGCTGAGTGTGTATGGCTGTTACTCTCAAAGTTGGAGTATAATTCCTGAAATTAAGGGGCATGTGGTTTTTAGGAGGCATCTTGCAGTCTGCCACAGGAGAGAGAGATTAATTCTTACTGGAAGACTGGGAAAATATTTGAAGAATGGATAGGATTTCATAAGGTAGTAATGAAGAGGGAATGAACATTCCAGGAGGTGAGAATGATCTGGATGCAAAGATACAGAAGCAGAAAGATGCAGGGGAGCAGCAGGAATGTGGGTAATAAGGAGTGAGGTGAGATACCTAAGGCTTTGTGTGGCTGGGTTGGGGCTGTATTGTAGGTGTCTCTACATTCCACTAAGAAAAGTGGCAGAAAATGAGCTGCTGCAGAAAACTGGGGCTTTCCTAAAGCATTTAAGGAAAAGTAGATCCTAGAAGTCAGGGTTACTGGGGAGAGATGTGATGGGGCCGGCACTGTGGCGCAGCAGGTTAAAGCTGCCTCCTGCAGTGCTGGCATCCCTCATGGGCACCAGTTCGAGTCCTGGCTGCTCTACTTCCAATCCAGCTCTCTGCTATATCCTGGGAAAGCAGAAGATGATGGCCCAAGTCCTTGGGCCCCTGCACCCCTGTGGGAAATCCGGAAGAAGCTCTTGGCTCCTGGCTTTAGATTGGCCCAGCTCCGGCCATTGTGGACGTTTGGGGAGTGAACCATCGGTTGGAAGACCTCTCTCTCTCTCTGCCTCTGCTTCTCTGTAATCTGCCTTTCAAATAAATAAACAAATAAAGCTTAAAAATAATTAAAAAAAAAGATGTGATATTGCCTCAAAGAGGTTAAGCTGGCCATTTAACACATTTAGAAGTTACATGAAGAGGAAGAAGTTTGACTCACCCTTGCGATTCCATGAGTCAAAGGGATTAAAGAAAGATCTGTGTTTCCCTTTCAAAGAGTTTAAGTAATGCTATCATGTATACCTTAAGGCATGTAGGAGGAAGGCATTCATGAGTAAGAGGCAGTTTGTTTGCAGTGGGCCTTAGGGAGTACAAAGAAGATATCAAGAGGGGTCTTGGTAGAGGAGATGGAGACAGGTTAGCTGGAGATTAGCATGAAGAAAGGATAGAAGGATATCTACATGTAAGGAGCTGATTGTGGGTCATAACAATGGTATTCTCATTCATGTTGTTCAGTGTGCTTTGACTAGGCCTTTGCTCTGTATTCTTTACATTCAGGAACTGCAGCTGAAAGGGACATAATCCAGGGAAGAGAAGAAAACTGGTGGAGCCATACAATGGCGCTTTTTTGTTGTTGTTGTTGACAGGCGGAGTGGACAGTGAGAGAGAGAGAGACAGAGAGAAAGGTCTTCCTTTGCCATTGGTTCACCCTCCAATGGCCGCCGCGGCCGGCGTGCTGCAGCCGGCGCACCGCGCTGATCCGAAGGCAGGAGCCAGGTGCTTCTCCTGGTCTCCCGTGCGGGTACAAGGCCCAAAGACTTGGGCCATCCTCCACTGCACTCCCGGGCCATAGCAGAGAGCTGGCCTGGAAGAGGGGCAACTGGGACAGAATCCGGCACCCGAACCGGGACTAGAACCTGGTGTGCCGGCGCAGCAGGCAGAGGATTAGGCTATTGAGCCGCGATGCTGGCCTACAATGGCTATTACTAGGAAGTGGCATGTGTTTTCTGCACACATTCCAATGACTATAGACAAGCCTGACATCAGTGGAAATACACTTTCTTGGGGAGAAGCCTTATAGAGAGGAGCATTTGAGCAAATAATATTACCTCCTGCAATGATTGAGTATACTGTGAGAAAGTCACAGTTCAGATATAGGGTATTTGTTGTTAATTAATACAGCATCATAGTCTTCAAGCAATACAGAGATAAGCGAGTTGGCCAGAAATGAATTTCTTTCTTTTTAAATACTTTTTATTACCTTTTTTTTTTTTAAGATTTATTTATTTGAGAGGCGGAGAGAGAGAAAGAAATCTTCTATCCATTGGTTCACTTCCAAAATGGCTGCAACAGCCAGGACTAGGCCAGGCTGAAGCCAGGAACCAGGAGCTCCATCTGGGGTCTCCCACATGGGTGCAGGAGCCCAAGGATTTGGGCCATCTTCCGCTGCTTTCCCAGACACATTAGCAGAGAGCTAGAAGTGGAGAAGCCAGAAATCAAACTGGTGCCCATATGGGATGCTGGCCCTGCAGATGGTGGCTTAACCCAGGACACCACAGTGCCAGCCCCACAACTGAATCTCAGTTCATGTTCAGGTTGCCGCTGCTGGTGATGGGTTATGTTCAGGGAAATGAATGGCTATCTTTGAAAAGATAATTAAAGGAAATTTATTCACAATTCATTACTTAACCTGTAACATTGATTACTTACCTACTTTTATTTATTTATTTATTTATTTGACAGGCAGAGTGGACAGTGAGAGAGAGAGAGACAGAGAGAAAGGTCTTCCTTTTGCCGTTGGTTCACCCTCCAATGGCCGCCGCGGCCAGCGCGCTGCGGCCGGCGCACCGCGCTGATCCAACGGCAGGAGCCAGATGCTTCTCCTGGTCTCCCATGGGGTGCAGGGCCCAAGTACTTGGGCCATCCTCCACTGCACTCCCTGGCCACAGCAGAGAGCTGGCCTGGAAGAGGGGCAGCCGGGACAGAATCTGGCGCACCGACCGGGACTAGAACCTGGTGTGCCAGCGCCGCAAGGCAGAGGATTAGCCTAGTGAGCTGCAGCGCCAGCCCACTTACCTACTTTTAATACCCAGTGTGTTATTGAAACTAAGAGGGATGTTATTATTTAGAAAACAAACAAAAGTCTTAGTTTAATGGGGAGCTCTCAACACAAAGTAGGATGCTTTTGTATCCTTCATGTAATGAAAAAATGGTAAGCCTCTAATCCAGTTGCTTTCATTTAAGTAAGTTCTTTTGTTAGTTGAATGAGTGAGTGTCTGAGGTTTCACTGTGCATGTTAGGTGCCAGCACTTTGTATCCAGGAGATGTAAAGAAGGAAAACCAACCTCCACAAACCAGACAAGCTTTATTATAAGCCAGAGAGGGATGCCGCCTCAATCGGACAGACCTGAGATGGGGAAGGAAGTGAAACAATAGGGGATTGAGTGATTTGATAGGCACAGCTCTGGCCATTGCAGCCATTTGAGGAGTGAACCAGCAGATGGAAGATCTTTCTCTCTGTCTCTTCCTCTCTCTGTGTGTTAACTCTGCCTCTCAAATAAATAACATCTTTTAAAAAAAGATTTTTTTAAACTTTGTTGTTGTCCCATTTTGGCTTATTCTGTTTATTTGTGCCGGGTATTAGCTTTTTATCTTAGTGTTATTACCTCAGCTTCCTTCACTTATTGCACAGGTAATAAAAAGCTAATGGTGCAATCTGTATGAAACAAGAATTGAAGGAGAGTAGACTAAACAGGAAAGGAGAGTAAGAAAAGAAAGCATGAAATCACAAAGACAGGAAATGAGGTTTGATGAGGTTTTCCTGTTTCAGGAAATAGCACAGTTAGTGCAAGTGTTTTTTTCTTTTAATGTCCTAAAAAATGGCTGCCTTTTTATTGGTACATGTTTGTAAACCAGATCTCTAGATTGACATTGTGACTCTTTTTTGGCCTGACTTAGGTGTATACGCTTGACGTACCAGATGCGTTCTATTACTGTTATAGCCCAGACCCTGGAAGTGCCAGTGGAAAGGATGCCGTCATGGAAGCTATGGCCGAGCGGATAGTTACAGTGTGTGCCACCCTGGATGAAAACCCTGGAGTAAGGTATAAAAGGTAAGGTGCACAACAGGGTCTCTATGTGTTATGCTTTCTATTTGCTCTCCAGTCTAGAAGCAATGCTTTATGTTGATTTGTTAAATTTATTTTCCTTGTACCACGATCATGTTCTACATGTAGATTTAAAGTTTAAAACTTCATTTGCCAATTAACTAATAGCCTCTTTTACTGAATTTTGTTTATTCTAAGTGTGACCCTCTGGCCTCAGCTTCCATGTCTATGAAATGGGAATGATAATAGTACTTACTTCATAAGATTATTAAAATTAAATAAGTTCATATCTGTAAAGCACTTGGAGTATTGCATGAAGCAAGTAGAAATGGTACTAATATACTAAACTTATGCTAGGAGTCAATATTATTACTCATTTATTTTTAAAAGTATTTAATTTGAGAAGCAGGTTAGGATACCCACATCTTATGTAAGAGTGCCTAGGTTTGAGTCCTGGCTCCACTCCAGTTCTAGCTTTCTGCTAATAAGGCACCAGGGGAGGCAGCAGACAGTAGCTCAAGTTGTTGGGTCTCATGCAACCCACATGAGAGACCTGGATTGATTCCCACCTCCTGGCTGCAGCCAGCACAGACCTGACTAATGTGGACATGTGGGTAGTGAATCCATGGTTAGGAGCTGTCTGTCTCTCTAGCTCTGTCTCTGAAATATAATGAATAATATTTTTTAAAAAGATTATTTAATTTGAACATTGGTGTTTGTCAGCTTAGTTGGCTGAATTGTTTAATTTCAAATCCATTTTATTATTCATTTAAATTAACATTTTAAATATCTATTACTGGGGCCGGCACTGTGGTGTAGTCGCCACCTGCAGTGCCAGAGTCCCAGCTGCTCCACTTCCGATCCAGCTCCCTGCTAATGCACCTGGGAAAGCAGTGGAAGATGGCCCAAGTCCTTGGGCCCCTGCACTCACATAGGAGACGTGGAAGAAGCTCCAGGCTCCTTGCTTCAGGTTGGCCCAGCTCTGGCTTTTGCAGCCATTTGGGGAGTGAGCCAGCAGATGGGAGACCTCTCTCTCTCTCTCTGCCTCTACCTTTCAAATAAATAAATAAATCTTTTTAAAAATCTATTACTTTAAAAATATGTAGTAAATATCCTTAATTTAAATATTACCAAACTCTACTTACAACTTGGGTATTAGAAGCATGCTTTTACTTATAAAATTACTTCTGATTACTGTGAGCTAAGTGATTTGGCTCCTGCTCAAGTTTAGTCCCTGTTCAAGCTTCTGCCATTGGTGGTTGGATATAGTCAGGGAAAAGAGTAAACATAATAACCTTATAATTTAATAGCTCACACAGGGACCTGCTTTGAATTTTTACTTATTTTTTTATTTGAAAGGCAGAGAGACAGAGATCTTCTACCTACTGGTTCACTCCCCAGTTGCCCTCAACAGCTGGCATAAGGCAAGGCCAAAGCCAGGAGGAGCTAGGAACTCAATCTAGGTATTCCACATGGGTAGCAGGGAATCAGTTACCTGAGTCATCACCCTTTTCTCCCAGGTTACTCTAGGAACCCATTCTGAGTCCTCTAATAAATAATAATCTTGGCTTTTAAAATTCTATCTGGCCTTTCACAAAAATAGTCCTTTACGCTTTATAGACTTTTTTAAAAAAAAAAAAAAAGATTTATTTTATTTATTTGAAAGAGTTACAGAGAGAGGTAGAGACAGAGAGGTCTTCCATCTACTGGTCGCTCCCCAGATGGCCACAACAGCCAGAGCTGCACCAATCCGAAGCCAGGAGCCAGGAGCTTCTTCCAGGTCTCCCACGTGGTTGCAGGGGCCCAAGCACTTGGGCCATCTTCCACTGCTTTCCCAGGCCACAGCAGAGAGTTAGATCGGAAGAGGAGCAGCTGGGACTAGAACCGGTGGCCATATGGGATACTGGCACTTCAGGCTAGGGCTTTAACCCACTGTGCCACAGCGCCAGCCCCACTTTGTAGACTTTTAATATATAATTCTAACATGAAGCTACTTCCATTTGAAAATATTTTATAACAAAAAATGTAATAAATTACTCTGTAGGTCCTGCTTTGTTTAAAGATTTATTTTAGAGAGAGAGAGAGACAGAATCATTCATCCACTGGATTACTCTTCAAGTGCCCACAACAGCCAGGTCTAAGCCAGGCTGAAGCCTGTATCCAGGAACTCCATCCAGTTCTCCAGTGAGTAGCAGGGGCTCAAGTACTTGGGCTGTTATCTGCTGCCTGCCCAGGTGCATTAGCAAAAAGCTGGATTGCAAGCAGGGGAGCTGGGATTCCAACCAGCACACCAGTATAGGATGCCTGTCCCTTTATTTTTTCATCAAGTAAAATTTTCTAGAACTGAGGGCACTTGATTCACTGTTTATTTATATTTGAAAGGGAGACAGAGACAGACAAAGTGATCCCCCATCCACTGGTTCACTCCCCAGTGCCTGCAATTAATTGTCTGGGGCTAAGCCAGGCCAAAGCTGGGAAACAGGAACCCCATCCAGGTCTCCCATGTGGGTAGCAGGAACCCAACCACTTGAGCAATCATCTGCTGCCCCTGGGGTACCCACTAGCAGGAAACTGGAATGAGAGCAGAGCTGGGATTCAATCCTAGGCACTCTACTATGGGATGGAGACACCCCAATTGGCAGCTTGACCACCGTGCCAAACACCTGTTGGTGTGCTAGGTGAATAGTCTTCTCAGACTTTTTTTTTTGGGGGGGGGGTAGATTTGGAAATTATACTAATGCCATTGATTGTGAGGTTACAATTTAGAATATAATGTTAATCATTTTATAAGACTGTAATATACAAGATTTTGTGCAGAAGACTGTATTGGAAAGTTTACTAAATGTTAGCATGTGGCGAAATCTCAGGCTACTTGTAGAAGGAATAATTATTCAACTAATCTGGAGAGCAAGTTAGTAATCTCTAGAGAAGTTGAAAATGTACATGCCCTATGACTCAGCAATTATACTTTTACATGTAATATACCTAGAGAAACATATGCATGGAGATATATATATATATATACACACACACACAAGCATGTTTGTTTCAGTGTTTACAATACTATTAAATTGAAAATGACATAAATGTCCATCTTTAGGAAAATGAATACATAGAATCCAGTATTAATCATGTGATGGAATGCTGCTTAGGATAAAAAGTGAATAAATCATGTGTGTGTCAGCATAGATAAATCAATACACACATAAATAACTGCAGTGACTGGAAGAATGCATATGAAGCTCATGATAGTGGTTGCCATGGGGATAGAAGTAGGGGAGAACTTAAGAGATGGGCCAAGGACCTCAATAGACATTTTTCAAAAGAGGAAATCCAAGTGGCCAACAGACACATGAAAAAGTGTTCAGGATCACTAGCAATCAGGGAAATGCAAATTAAAACCACAATGAGGTTTCACCTCACCCTGGTTAGAATGGCTCACATACAGAAATCTACCAACAACAGATGCTGGCGAGGATGTGGGGGAAAAGGGACACTAACCTACTATTGGTGGGAATGCAAACTGGTAAAGCCACTGTGGAAGTCAGTCTGGAGATTCCTCAGAAACCTGAATATAACCCTGTCATACAACCCAGCCATCTGACTCCTTGGAATTTACCCAAAGGAAATTGAATTAGCAAACAAAAAAGCAGTCTGCATCTTAATGTTTGTTGCAGCTCAATTCACAATAGCTAAGACCTGGAATCAACCTAAATGCCCATCAACAGTAGACTGGATAAAGAAATTATGGGATATGTACTCTATAGAATACTATACAGTAGTAAAAAAAAAAAAAAGCAATGAAATCCAGTCATTTGCAACAAAATGGAGGAATCTGGAAAACATCATGCTGAGTGAAATAAGCCAGTCCCAAAGGGACAAATATCATATGTTCTCTCTGATCAGTGACAAGTAACCGAGCACCAAAAAGGAAACTTGTTGAAGTGAAATAGGCACTTTGAGAAACAGTGACTTGATCAGCCTTTGCCCTGACTGTTGATGAACAACTTAATACTTTATCCCTTTTAGTATTTTTTTGTTCTATTTAATACTATTGGTTGAACTCTGTAATTAACACACAGTTATTCTTAAGTGTTGAAATTTAACTGAAAAATGATCCCTGTTAAATATAAGAGTGCAAATAAGAGGGAGGAGATGTACAATTTGGGACATGCTCAAGCTGACTTGCCCCAAATGGTAGAGTTAGAAATGTGCCAGGGGATTCCAATTCAATCCCATCAAGGTGGCATGTACCAATGCCATCTCACTAGTCCAAGTGATCAATTTCTGGTCACAGTTGATCATAATGGTAGGACTAAGAGTCAAAGGGATCACATAAACAAGACTAGTGTCTGCAAATACTGATAGAATAAAAAGGGGAGAGAACGATCCAACATGGGAAGCGGGATACACAACAGACTCAGAATGGCAGATGTGCTAAACAGCACTCTGGCCTCAGAATCAGCCCTTAAGGCATTCAGATCTGGCTGAAGAGCCCTTGAGAGTAATATAGGCATGGAAAGCCAAGACACTGTGGTGGGGGGGTGGGAGTGGGGGGACGACCCTGTATGAAAGGTCTCTGCGAGTGAGATCCCAGTGGAAAGAACGAGCCATCAAAGAAGGAGGTACCTTTCTCTGAAGGGAGGAGAGAACTTCCACTTTGACTATGACCTTGTCTAAATAAGATCAGAGTCGGCGAACTCAAAAGGCCTCCATAGCTTTGGCAACTCAAGACAAGAGCCTAGGGTGATTAGTGACGCTATAAACAAGAGTGTCAATTTGTTAAGTCAACAGCAGGAGTCACTGTGCACTTACTCCTTATGTGGGATCTGTCCTAAATGTGCTGTACATTGTGATTTAATGCTATAACTAGTACTCAAACAGTATTTTTCACTTTGTGTTTCTGTGTGGGTGCAAACTGTTGAAATCTTTACTTAGTATATGCTAAATTGATCTTCTGTATATAAAGATAATTGAAAATGAGTCTTGATGTGAATGGAAGGGGAGAGGGAGTGGGAGAGGGGAGGGTTGCAGGTGGGAGGGAAGTTATGGGAGGGAAAAAGCCATTGCAATCCTTGAGCTGTACTTCGGAAATTTATATTCATTAAATAAAAGTTAAAAAAAAAAGTAGGGGAGAGAAGGTCAGGACTTGGAAGGAATAGTGGAAACTGCAACTTTATGTGCAATATTTTATTTCTTTTGCATTAAAAAACTGAAGAACAAATGATGAGACTTATTTGTAAATTTCAAATATGTTCATATTAACATCATATTTAATATATTATTTGGAATTTTCCATGTTTATGAAAGTTTTTATAAATGCATGGTTTAAGTTTAGAATTAAACTATATGGTATTGTGAAGTGTGTTCTGAAATAAATATATTTGTTTGAACTGTTTTTTACATTTCTAGTAAGCCTCTTGATAATGCCAGTAAGCTTGCACAGCTTGTTGAAAAAAAACTTGAAGACTACTACAAGATTGATGAAAAGAGCCTAATAAAGGTAATGTATAAAAGGCAAATAGTGACTGTGCATAAAATCTGTCTTATTTATAAGCCAAAGGAACTTGTTCCTTTATTTTCCAGTATTAGTTTGGGAGTCATTAACATAGATCTCCAATACTGATTGGAGAATCATTAACATAGTTGATTTACAGATGACGGGGTTATGAAGTCAGCACTGTGTCCAAATCCTGTTTCTGCTCTTTAATTCATAATTATACAAATTAGGTAATTTCTCTATACCCAAGTTTTTTTTTTTCTATAAATTGAGGACAGTAAAAGAATACCTAGTTTAAAAGTTAATGAGCGGAGCCGGCGCTGCGGCTCAATAGGCTAATCCTCCACCTGCGGCGCTGGCACACCGGGTTTTAGTCCCAGTTGCTCCTCTTCCAGTCCAGCTCTCTGCTGTGGCCCAGGGAGGCAGTGGAGGATGGCCCAAGTGCTTGGGCCCTGCACCCACATGGGAGACGAGGAAGAGGCACCTGGCTCCTGGCTTCGGATCTGCCCAGCGCCGGCCATGGCGGCCATTTGGGGAGTGAACCAACAGAAGAAAGACCTCTCTCTCTGTCTCTCTCTCTCATTGTCTATAACTCTACCTGTCCAAAAAAAAAAAAAAAAAAAAAGTTAATGCGAGGATTAAATGAGTTAATACATGTAAAGTCCTTAAAATAATGCTTACCACAGTTAATAAACATAGAAATTCCTGTTGTTACTATCTCTGTGACCTAAAGGAGGTGACATGAAATGTACCTTGCTTAGTTGGTATGAGGATTAAGTGAGATAATATGTAAGTCTTTGGCACATAGAGGCATTGAATAAGTGGTACTTGATAGAAGATAATATAATGTAATCAGATGCTGAGGTGGGGATGTGGGGAACACCAGCATTTGAGGTGTGCTTTTTTTTTTTTTTTTTTTTTTTTTTTTGGACAGGCAGAGTGGACAGTGAGAGAGAGAGAGACAGAGAGAAAGGTCTTCCTTTTGCCGTTGGTTCACCCTCCAATGGCCGCCGCGGCCAGCGCGCTGCGGCCGGCGCACCGCGCTGATCCGGTGGCAGGAGCCAGGAGCCAGGTGCTTTTCCTGGTCTCCCATGGGGTGCAGGGCCCAAGCACCTGGGCCATCCTCCACTGCACTCCCTGGCCACAGCAGAGGGCTGGCCTGGAAGAGGGGCAACCGGGACAGAATCCGGCGCCCCGACCGGGACTAGAACCCGGTGTGCCGGCGCCGCTAGGCGGAGGATTAGCCTAGTGAGCCGCGGCGCCGGCTTGAGGTGTGCTTTAGAGAATGAAGAGCCTGAGACTGACAGAGGTGGTGCCAGAGGTCTGGGAAGCCATATTACAGTAGCTCATGGATGACAAGGAAGAACTGTCAGTGTTTTAAAGGAAGTACAGGACCAGCAGACCACCAGTTACAATGCTGTGTAATTAAAGTGGGATGAGAGAATACATTGAGTGTACTGAGAACCTGGGCTGGGCCTTCACTTATTCTGAACTGGAGTCTTGGAAGGCTTCCTGGAGGAAGAGAATCTTGAGGTTTTTTGTTGTTGTTTGGTTTTTGTTTTTGTTTTTGTTTTTGTTTTTTGACAGGCAGAGTTAGAGAGAGAGAGACAGAGAGAAAGGTTTTCCTTTTTCCATTGGTTTACCCCCCAAATGGCTGCTGCAGCCGGCGCACTGTGCCGAACTAAGGCCAGGAGCCAGGTGCTTCCTCCTGGTCTCCCATATGGGTGCAGGACCCAAGCACTTGGGCCATCCTTCACTGCCTTCCCGGGCCACAGAAGAGAGCTGGACTGGAAGAGGAGCAACTGGGACAGAATCCGGTACCCCAACTGGGACTAGAACCCAGGATGCCGGCACCAAAGGCGGAGGATTAGCCAAGTGAGCCGCGGCACCGGGCAAAGCTCTTGAGTTTGAGGAGTAAGTGTAATGTTTGGTAGAATAGGGGGTTTATTGTATGGATAACAGGATTCTTTGGGTAGAAGCTAGAGAAATAGGCAGAATTATGATTAAACTACTTGGCTGTGATGAAGGATTCTAAGTTTAGGTGTTATGTGAGTTACTTTTGAAGTTACCAGTCTTTGTTCAGTGGTTTAGTGAAAGTTGTTATCTTGGTTGTAGTTAGGAAAATGGAGTGGTTTAGTACACTTAGTAAGTGGTGAATAAATGTTGAATGATAGAAGAGATATACAATCAATATATTTGCAAAAATCCCCTTAATCTTTCATAATTTTGATGGAAAAAGGGCAAAATCCATATAATTCTCCCTGGGAATTGTATATCCTTCTAATGCTGATAACTTTCCCTCATTCAGAGACCTGATAAAGAATTCCCTCATGATGGAAATCTCTCCTGACTCTTTAGGGACAGTGACACTCCCTCCTACATACCATTATAAGGCCCAACCCTGATAGAGCACTTGCATTGCATTGTCTTTTTCCTGTTCATAGCTTTTAAAAAAAAAATATTTATTTATTTGAAAGGCAGAGCTGCAGAGAGGCAGAGGTAGAGAGAGAGGTCTTCCATCCACTGGTTCACTCCCCAAATGGCCAAAATGGCTGGAGCTGAGCTGATCCAAAGCCAGGAGCTTCTTCCAGGTCTCCTACACAGATGCAGGGGCCCAAGGACTTGGGCCATCTACTACTTTCCCAGGCCATAGCAGAGAGCTGAATCAGAAGTGTAGCGCTGGATCTTGAACCGACACCCATATGGGATGCCAGCACTGCAGGCAGCAGCTTTACCCGCTACACCACAGCACCAACCCCCCTATTCGTAGTTTTTAAGACTCATAGCTCATGTATGTTGAGAGCTTACACCAGGCACTATGTTAAGTGTTTTGTGATATTATTATATTTAATCTTTACAGCAATCTTACAAGGGAAAGTTTCTATGATTATATTCCATTTTACAGAGAGAATACTGATATATAAATATGTCAAACAGTTTATCCGGTGTTGTACAACAAGATCGTAGTTAAGAGTAGACGCAGATCCAGATCTGTCTGATTTCAGATGCTGTCTTCTTCACATACAATACCATACTGTCTCACATGCATTCAAATGGGTGAATGGAAAATTTAAAACTATTTTTAAAATCTAGCCTATGTAATGTACTTCTGTCTCTTATATGTAAATAAATAGGAAATATTTGTTGAGTTATTTCTCACTGTTTTGAATAATAGTCTAAAAATTTATTACTTTTTAAAATCAAGTATGAAAGATAGTGATAGGGGCCGGTGCTGTGGTGCAGCAGGTTAACACCCTGGCCTAATGTGCCGGCATCCCATATGGGCGCCGGTTCAAGACCCAGTTGCTCCACTTCCAATCCAGCTCTCCACTATGGCCTGGGAAAGCAGTAGAAGATGGCCCAAGTCCTTGGGTCCCTGCACCCATGTGGGAGACCAGGAAGAAGCTCCTGGCTCCTGGTTTTGGATTGGCACAACTTCTGCCGTTGCAGCCAATTGGGGAGTGAACCATCAGATGGAAGATCTATCTCTCTCTCTCTGCCTTTCCTCTGACTTTTAAATAAACTCTGTAACTCTGACTTTTAAATAAATAAATTAATTTTAAAAAAAGAAAGAAACTGATGTTAACAATATACCCAGCACTAATATTTACTGTTTAGTGATTAATACTGTTTGTGAATTGATAACAAAGATTTCATTGTGTTTTATCTTCTTAGCATCAATATAATCTTTTTAAAAGTATTCAGTAATTTGATTTTTATTTTAAAATTTTATCTATTAATTTATTTGAATGACAGAACTCTCATTTGCTGGCTCACTCCCCCTATACCTGCTGTGATGTGGGTTGCTCCAGGCTGAAGCCAGGAACCAGGAATTCAGTCCAGGTCTCCCATGGGGATAGAAGGGACCCAACCGCTCAAGCCATCCCTGCTGCCTCCCAGTGACTCCACCAGCAGGAAGCTGGGATCTTGATTTTGAGGCACATGTCGAACTGAGGCTTCTACATGGGACATGTGCATCCTAACTCGCATCTTAACTGATAGGCTAAACGTCTGCCCCAGTAAACTCTCTCTCTCTCTCTCTCTCTCTTTTTTTTTTTTTTTTTTTTTTGACAGAGTGGATAGTGAGAGAGAGAGAGACAGAGAGAAAAGTCTTCCTTTTTGCCATTGGTTCACCCTCCAATGGCCGCTGCGGCCGGCGCACTGCCACTGGCACATCGCGCTGATCCGAAGCCAGGAGCCAGGTGCTTCCCCTGGTCTCCCATGCGGGTGCAGGGCCTAAAGACTTGGGCCATCCTCCACTGCACTCCCGGGCCATAGAAGAGAGCTGGCCTGGAAGAGGTGCAACCGGGACAGAATCCGGTGCCCCGACCAGGACTAGAACCCGGTGTGCCAGCGCCGCAAGGCGGAGGATTAGCCTATTGAGCCGCGGTGCCGGCGTAAACTCTCTTTAAGTAGCATAATGGCTAAGAACCCAGATGTGGGAGTAAAGCAGACTGAATCTCAGTTCCACCACTTACTCCTACCTGTGTAATTTGGGCAAATTACTTACTTTCAAGCCTTAAGCCCTCCTTTTCAAGTAGAGATAAACCCTGTCTCAAAGGGTTACTATAAGACCCCTAAAAGAATATATATGTTAAGTGAAATAATATATATTTTTGCTTAGCAACAAATCTAACATAAAGAACTCAAGTGGTATCCACTATTTTATATCAATTTTAGTGTTTATGGAGCTGAACTCATAAGAAGATAGATTTTATTTTAGTACAGATGTTTCTGTTTGAAATTTTCAGAATATATTAAATATAGCCTGTTAACTTAAATATGAAAACTTATAGTTGTGTAGTCTTTTTCTTTCCCCCTATTGTACAACTTGGATTCTCAGTTTTGTTCTGATAAAACCTAACACTCTTTAAGTCACTTAACCATTTATTTTATGTTTTTGGTGGGGAGAAAGAAGAACTTGGGAGAAGTCGTTTTTGCTTTTTAAGCTGTTTTAAAATATGCTCACACAAAGAAATTGAAATTTCTTCTGATAATTTTATCTTGTTATTCCAGGGTAAAACACATTCCCAGCTCTTAATAATTGATCGTGGCTTTGATCCTGTGTCTACTGTCCTGCATGAACTGACCTTTCAGGCAATGGCATATGATCTACTACCAATTGAGAATGATACATACAAGCAAGTATAACTTGGAGGGCATAGACCAAAAGGATAGAGTATGAGTATTTGATGATGTGTGTGGCCATAATAAACCCAAATGCCCGTAACCTTTATATTCCTATAATCATAATCCTTTTTAAAATATGTTGATAATTTGACTGCTTGAGAGCTTTTTGATGTCATGTATTCTTCTTTAATCTGCAACAGAACAACATTTTTTTAGAAAATTTATATATTTATTTGAAAGGCAGAGCTACAGAGAGACAGAGGCAGAGAAAGAAAGAGAGAGAGAGGTCTTCCATCCTCTGGTTCATTCCCCAGATGGCCGAAACGGCCAGAGCAATGCCGATCTAAAGCCAGAAGCCAGGAGCTTCTTCTAGGTCTTCCACGCTGGTGCAGGAACCCAAGGACTTAGGCCATATTCTACTGCTTTCCCAGGCCATAGCAGATAGCTGGATAGGAAGTGGAGCAGCTGGGACTTGAACTGGTACCCACATGGGATACCAGCGCTTCAGACGAGGGCTTTAACCTGCTGTGCCACAGTGCCAGCCCCCAGAGCAACATTTAAACAGGTAGAACTTGGACTTTATTAAGAGTATATGTTGATTTGTTTATTTCAAAGGTGGAGTTACAAAGTGGGATAAGCAGAGGCAGAGAGAGAGAGAGAGAGCTTCCATCTACTGGTCCACTCCCGAAATGGCTACAACACCAGGGCTGAGCCATGTGCTTCATCAGTGTCTCCCATGTGGATGCAGGTTCCCAAGCACTTGGACCATTTTCTGCTGCTTTCCCAGGCACAAAAGCGTGGAGCTGGATCAGAAGTGGAGCAGCCAGGACTTGAACCAGTGTCCATATGGGATGCCAGTACTGCAGGTGGTAGCTTAACCCACTATACCATAGTGCTGTCCCCAAATTAAAAAATTAAATGAAAAAATAGCTGGGGCTGGCGCTGTGGAATAGCAGGTAAAAGCCACTGCGTGTAGTGCTGGTATCCCATATGGGCACCGATTCTAGTCCCACTGCTCCACTTCCGATCCAGCTCTCTGCTATGGCCTGGGAAAGCAGCAGAAAATGGTCCAAGTGCTTGGGACCCTGCATCCACATGGGAGACCTGAAGGAGGCTCCAGGCTCCTGGCTTCAGATTGGCACAGCTCAGGCCATTGTGACCACTTGGGGAGTGATCCAGCAGATGGAAGACTTCTCTCTCTCTTTCTCTCTGCCTCTGCCTCTCTGTAATTCTGCTTTTCAAATAAATAAATATTTAAAATAAAATAGCTTTTCTTTCAAGGAACCATTTAATTATAGGTCTGTATATCATTTATGGGTGTATGTGTGTCTATAAATATGTATACATATTTGATGATCTCTAAATGCAAATTAACTTTCATCTGAAATTTATTGCTTGAGTACAGTAGTGAAAATGAAAAACAGTTTCTGAAAGTAGCTTTTATATTAAAAAGATACAAAACGCTTGTGGTAATTAAGATGCTTAGTATTTTTTTAATATTTATTTGTTATTTATTTGAAAGGGAGAGTTACAGGGAGAGATAGAGAGAGGGAGAGATAGAGACAAAGAGGGATGTTCATCTGCTGGTTCATTCCCCAGATGGCCTTAACAGCTGGAGCCTAGACCATCTGAAACCAGTAGCCTGGAGCTTCTTCCTGGTACCATCTTTTGTTGCTTTCCCAGGTGCATTAACAGGGAGGTGGATCAGTAGTGCAGCAGCTGAATCTTCAGCTGATGCCTGTATTAGTTGCCTGCATCCCAGGTACTGGCTTAACCTGCTACGCCAGCCCCTGGGCCCTGAATTTAATCCAGCTCTCGTTTGTGGATAGCACGAACACAATTATTTGAGCCATCATCACTCCCAGGGTCTGCATTGGCAAGGAGCTAGAATGAAGAGCTAAAGGAGCTGGGAATCAAACCCAGACACTCCAACATGGGACCCAGGTTACCTAGAGGCATGTTAAACTATGAGGCCAAATGCCTACCCCAAAGTGTCATTTGTTAAAAGTAAGGAAGAGGGGCCGGTGCTGTGGCCTGTGGCGCTGGCATCCTAGATGGGCACCAGTTCGTTTCCCAGCTAATCCTCTGCTTATGGCCTGGGAAAGCAGCAGAGGATAGCCCAAGTGCTTGGGCTCCTTGCACCCATGTGGGAGGCCTGGAGGAAGCATGGTTCCTGGCTTCAACAGCTCAGCTTTGGCTGTTATGGCCATTTGGGGAGTGACCCAGTGGAGGGAAGACCTCTCTCTGTATCTCCCTCTCTCTGTCTGTAACTCTGCCTCTCAAATAAATAAATAAATAAAGTAAGTAAGGGAGAGACTGGCTGGGCTGGAACTGGGAGCTAGGGATGCTACCTAGGTCTTCCACATGGGTGGTAGGAAACAAATTGCTTCAACCATCACTGTTGCCTCCCTTGGTCCACATTGACAGGGGACTAGAGTCAGGAGCTGGAGCCAGGAACTGATCCCCCACACTCCAATGTGGGATGAAGGCATCTTAACTACTCGGCTTAACATCTGCTCTCAAAGTAGTATTTTTAGCAGTTAAAATACAAATTGTTAGTGTATTCAGTCTAATTTTTAAAGTTGATGGATGGCCGGCGCCGTGGCTAATTAGGCTAATCCTCCGCCTTGCGGCACCGGCACACCGGGTTCTAGTCCCGGTCGGGGTGCCGATTCTGTCCTGGTTGCCCCTCTTCCAGGCCAGCTCTCTGCTGTGGCCTGGGAGTGCAGTGGAGGATGGCCCAAGTCCTTGGGCCCTGCACCCCATGGGAGACCAGGAGAAGCACCTGGCTCCTGCTTTCGGATCAGCGTGATGTGCCGGCCGCGGCGGGCTTTGGAGGGTGAACCAACAGCAAAAGGAAGACCTTTCTCTCTGTCTCTCTCTCTCTCTCTCACTGTTCACTCTGCCTGTCAAAAAAAAGAAAAAGTTGATGGTGGGCCCGGTGCCATGCTCACTTGGTTAATCCTCCGCCTGCAGTGCCAGTATCCTATGGTAGGCACCGGCTTCTAGTCCTGGTTGCTCCTCTTCCAGTCTAGCTCTCTGCTGTGGCCCGGGAGGGCAGTGGAGGATGGCCCAAGTGCTTGGATCCCTGCACCCGCATGGGAGACCAGGAAGAAGCACCTGGCTCCTGGCTTTGGATCTGCGCAGCGCCAGCCATGGCGGCCAGTTGGGGAGACCCTTCTCTCTCTCTCTCACACTGTCTATAACTCTACCTGTCAAATAAAAAAAAAAAAAAAAGTTGATGGTAGCAGCTGGTGCTGTGGCGTAATAGGCTAAGCCTCTGCTTGTGGCACCAGCAAGCCAGTATGGCTGGACCACATGATCTTGAAAAATGATGGAAGAGGTATACAATCAATTTGCCTCTTAAATACTTAAATATAAATCTTTTTTAAAAAGTTTATTTTAAGACATTGAATTTTTACTTCATAAGAGACTATTTTGTTGAGCTATAACAACTAAATCTAACATTTGGAAGTAAAAGTGTCTTGCTAGGCATAGTACCTTTGGCTTTTTTTTTTTAATATTTATTTATTTGGAAGATAGAGTGACTTTGGGGGAGGGAGGAGTTTGAGATCTCCCATCCACTGGTTCACTTCCTAAATGGCCACAACAGCCAGGTCTGGGTCAGGCTGAAGCTAAGAGCCAGGAGCTCCATCCTGTCTCCCACATTGGTGGCAGGGTAGGTGGCAGGAGCCCAAGTATTTGGGCCATCTTCTACTGCCTTCTCAGGTGCTTTAGCAGGGAGCTGGATCAGAAGTTGAGCAGCCTGGACCCAAACCAACACTCAGTATGGGATGCCTGCATCAGCAGCTTAACCCCCCCTTGACACAACACTGAGCCCAGCATATAAAGCTTTCCGCTAAATAATTGAGTATATAAGCTTTTTAGTTTCTTGAAGTATGTCTTAAAATGAACTGTTTAAGGTCTGGTGCTGTGGCGAAGTAGGTTAATCCTCCACCTGAGGTGCTGGCATCCCATATGGGTGCCAGGTCCTAGTCCTGGCTGCTTCTCTTCAGATCCAGCTCTCTGCTTACGGCATGAGAAATCAGTGGAAAATGGCCCAAGTTCTTGGGCCCCTGTACCCACCTGGGAGACCCAGAAGAATCTCCTGGCTTCTGATCGGCCCAGCTCCAGCCGCTGTGGCCATTTGTGGAGTGAACCAGTGGATAGAAGACCTTTCTCTCTGTCTCCCTCTCACTGTCTACAACTCTACCTTTCATTTAAATTAATAAACTCTTTTAAAAAAACAACTGTTTGTAAAAATGATTCTTCTTTTAAGGGAAAAAATCAAAAATTCGCACGCTTCTGTCTTATAGATATAAAACAGATGGAAAAGAAAAGGAGGCAGTCCTTGAAGAAGAAGATGACCTCTGGGTCAGAATTCGACATCGGCATATAGCAGTTGTGTTAGAGTATGTGGAACCCATTTTAATTTTATTCTGTATGTTTTAGATGCTAAATAAGTGGTAGTATATTTTGAAACCTTAAAATAGTCTTTAAAGAATTACACCTTAGAAGTTTTAAAAATTCTCTCACAATTTTACAGAGAAATTCCCAAGCTTATGAAGGAAATTTCATCAACAAAGAAAGCAACAGAAGGAAAGGTAAGAATCTTACTTAACTTTTAGAATAATGGTAAAGGTGAATTTAAAGTTTAAAATTTTTATTTTACTTAGCTTTCCATTTTGGAAAAGTTCTAAAAACATACACAGAAGTGGAGAAAACAAACTTCCATATGCCCATTAATTTTGTTTCAGTAGTTGACACCATTTTGTCTGTCTTGTTTCATTAAAGTTTATTTTTAAATGGCCATTTAGGCAATTTTATCAGTGCACTGTTGAGATTTTCATTTTGAGGTGTAATTTATATCAGTAAAGTGCACAAGTCTTAAATGTTTGATGGATAACTTTATTATGTGTGAAACCACTACCTAAAATCAAGATATACAACATTTCCATCATTCCAGAAAGTTCCCTCCTGCTGTTTCCCAATCAGTAGTAGTACCCTGCCAGAGGGAAACTTTTCTATCACCATAGATTAGTTTTGCCTATTCTTGACCTTCATATAAATGGAATCATATAGTATGTGATTTATTTATTTATTTATTTATTTTTACTTAAAATTTAAGGCAGAGTTACAAAGAGAGAAGTCTTCCACCCACAGATTCACACCCAAAATGGCCTCTGCAGCTGGGGCTGGGGCAGGCCAGGCTGAAGCCAGAAGCCCAGAGCTTTTTCCAGGTCTCCCACCTGGGTGCAGGAGCCTAAGCACTTGGGCAATCCTCCACTGCTTTCCCAAGCTCATTGGAAGGGACCTGGGACCCCAGCACTGTGTCATAGTGGGTAAAACCACTGCCTGCAGTGCTGGCATCCCATATGGGTGCTGGTTTGGGTCCCAGCTGTTCCACTTCCAATCTAGCTCTCTGCTATGGTCTGGGAAAGCAGTGGAGGATGGCCCAAGTGCTTGGGTCCCTGCACCCATGTGTGAGATCCAGAAGGAGCTCCTGGCTCCTGGCCTTGGATCAGCACAGCTCCAGTTGATGCAGCCATTGGGGAGTGAACCATCAAATGGAAGACCTCTCTCTCTCTCTCTGCCTCTGGCTCTGGCTCTGCCTCTCTGTAACTCTGCCTTTCAAATAAATAAATAAATCTTTAAAAAAAAATCAGAAGTGGAGCAGCCAGGTCTCAAGCCAGCACCCATGTGGGATGTCTGGCTTCTTTCACTTAGAATTACATTTTTGAGACATCATTTTATATATTTCAGTAGTTCAGTTTTTTTATTTGTGTATATTAGTAATACCGTTTTATAAATAGGCAGTTATTTGTCATTTAACAATAGGGATCTACTTTGAGAAATGTGTCACTAGGTGGTTTATTTTTCATTTGTTTGAAAGGCAGAGGGACAGACAGAGAGATAGAGAAACAGAAAGAAAGAAATCTTATGCTACTGATTGACTTCCCAAATGCCTGCAACATCTAGAACTAGGCTAGGACAAAGCCAGGAGCCAGGTTCTCAGTCCTGGCCCCCCCACATGGGTGGCAGGGACACAAGTACTTGAGCCATTACCTGCCGCCTCCCATTTAGCAGGAAGCTGAAATTGGAAGTAGAGCCAGACTATTAAATGCAGGTACTCTGATATGGGAAATGGGTGTCCCAAGCTGTGTCTTCTCTGTTACACCAAACACTCACACCTTTACTGATCTTTTTGTTCTACATTTTCTGTCAGTTACTGAGAGTGTTATATTAAAAACTGTGATTATGACTGAATTTTTCTCTTCAGTTCTTTAACTTGTTGAAGCTAAATTAGTTGATGAAGCTATGTTAATTAGGTCATTATACATTTAATATAGTTATCTTTCTATTGAGTTTATACTTTTATTATCGTAAAAATCTATCATTTGCAGTATTTCTTGTTTTAAAGTTATTGTTTGATATTACTTTCTTTTGACTGTTGTTTGCATAGTGTACTTTTTGCCAACATTTACCTGTGTCTTTCTGCTTAAAGTTCATTTATTAGTTTGCAGTTGAGTTTCATTTTTTTATTCAGTCCAAAAGTTTTGAATGGAATTCTGTAGACTGTAGATGTAATTCATATAATTATTGATATAGCTAAGGATATATCTAGTATCCTGTTTCTATTTATCTATTCTTTTCTGACTCCTTTATTGGGTTTTTTTTGGTGTATACTATTCCCACCTTCAGTTATTATGTGGTATTTAATAATAAATCTCTTATCACAATCCACCTTACAGTATATATTTGCCATGCCCTGAGTAATTTAGAAAAGTCATAATTCATTTCCATTTATCCCCTTCATTTGTGCTATTATCTCATGTATTGCAAACTCAAGATGTTTTTGCTTTATATATTCAGTAGAATTTTGTTTTACCCACATATTTATCCAGTCAGGTACTATTTATTCCTTATGATTTTCATTTTATATACCTGGGTTGGATTGAAGAATTCACTCAACTTTTTTTTTTTTTTAATGAAGACAGCTTTGTTTTGCAAGTTTTTCAGGATACTTCTGAATTTAAAACTCAAGATGGGCAATATTTATTTTTTCTTTCACAAATTTAAAACTTTCAGTACATCACCTCTGGCTAACCATAATTTCTGGTAAAGTCAGCAGTCATGTATTACCATTTTCTTGAAGATAAAATGTCCTTATTGATAAAAATATCTTTGAATTTTAACAATTTGACTATGATATGCCTTAATATAGTGTGGGTTTCTTGATATTTATCACCTTGGGGTTTGCAGAATATCTCAAATCACTGGGTTAATAATTTTCATCACATTTGTAAAAATCTTGACCATCATTTTCTTTTAAAAAGAAAGATTTGTTTATTTTACTTGAAAGTCACAGTTACACACACAAAGAGGAGAGGCAGAGAGAGAGAGAGGAGAGGCAGAGAGAGAGAGAGGAGAGGCAGAGAGAGAGAGGTCTTCCATCCGCTAGTTCTCTCCCCAAATGGCTGCAACTGCCAGAGCTGCACCTTTCCGAAGCCAGGAGCCAGGAGCTTCTTCCAGGTCTCCCACAAGGGTGCAGGGGCCTAATGACTTGGGCCGTCTTCTACTGCTTTCCCAGGCCACAGCAGAGAGCTGGATAGGAAGTGGAGCAGCTGGGACTAGAACTGGTGCCCATATGGGATGCCGACACTGTAGGGAGCGGCTTTACCCGCTACACCACAGTGCCAGCCCCCTGACATTTTCATTTAGTCCTGTTCTCTCTTCTCTTTCTGGGACCCAGTCACGTGTATTTTAGATGTTTTGAACTTTATCTCTTGCATTGTTTTCTTTTTTGTTTTTCCCCAATTGTACCTGTTTTGTTTGAATATTTTCCATTAGCCTGACTTTAAGTCCCCTACATATGTCTTTTTTATTTATTTATTTTAGAGGCCAATGCTGTGGTTTAGCCAGTACAGCTGCCACCTCTGGCACTGGCATCCCATATGAGAGTAAGTTCCATTCCTGGCTGCTCCACTTCCCATCCAGATCCCTGCTAATGGGAAAGCAGCAGCAGATGACCCAAGTGCTTGGGACCCTGCACCCATGTGGGAGACATGAAGTAAAGCTTCTGGCTCCAGGCTACTGATCAACCCAGCTCCGGCTGTTGCGGCCATTTGGAGAGTGAACCCGTGAATGGAAGAGCTCTTTCCATCTCTTACTCTCTCTGTAACTGTGACTTTCAAATAAGTAAATAATTCTTAAAAAAAAAAAAAAAAGAAGAAGAAGAAAAGATTTATTTTATTTATTCAAAAGATTTACAGAGAGAGAGAGGGAGAGACAGAGAAAGATCTTTCATCCACTGGTTCACTACCCAAATGGCTCATTAGCATGGATCTGGATCAAAGTGATATAGCCGGGACTCAAACCAGTGTCCATATGGGTTGCCTACATTACAGGTGGCAGCTTTACCTGTTACACCACAACCCAGGCCCCTGCTTCTGTCTTTCGTTCTGTTCGGTTTCCTGTTAAACTCATTCATTGTATTCTTTTTAAAATTGAAATATAAAGTAAAATTCACCCATTATAGTACATAGTTCTTAGAGTAGTTATATATGCTGTATATGTAGTCTGTAGTTCTATGACAAATGAATATTCTAATAACTACCACCACATTCAAGATATAGAACACTTCCATCACCCTCCAACATTTTCTTGTGTCCCTTTGCAAACATCAGCCAGCAGTTCTTCCCCTAGAAACTACTAATCTATTTTCTATCCCTATAGTTTTGACTTTTCCAGAATGTCCTATAAATAGAATAATACAATCTGCCTTTTTAATTTTGCATGATGCATTTAAGATTCATCCATGCTGCCTATAACAATAGTTTCGTTACTTTTTATTGATAAATAATATTCAATTGTATGGATGTACTATGTATGGTTTATTTATTCATCAGTTAAAGAACATTTTAGGTTTTTCAAGTTCTTGGCAATTATGAATGAAATCACTTTAAACATTCAGACTTTTCATGTCAGACACTCCCATCTGTGAACAGACTTTTTCATTTACTTGGATGAATACTTAAGCATGAGATTATTTAAACATATATGTGATGAGCTTTTAAGATTGAAGTTTATCATATATGTTTAAGCTAAAAGAAACTTCCAAATGTTTCCAAAGTGGATGTGCCATTTTACAATACCACCAGCAATGTGTGAAAGTTATTTGTTCTGTTTTTTAATTTAAAGTCTTATATTTCCAGGACATTAAGATTTATTTTCCCCAAAGAAACTTTTTATTTAATAAATACAAATTTTATAAGTACAACTTTAGGAATACACTTATTCTTCCCACCATATCCACCCTCCCACCCAGACTCCTACCCCTCTACCTTCTTCTCCCCTTCTCAGTCCCATTCTCCATTAAGTTTCATTTTCAGTTAATTTTGGTTTATTTTGGTTTTTGTTTTGTTTTGTTTTTTAAAGATTTATTTATTTATTTGAAAGCCAGAGTGACAGAGACAGAGAGAGAGAGAGGTCTTCTATCCAGTGGTTCACTCCCAAGATGGCCACAATGGCTGGAGCTGTGCTGATCCAAAGCCAGGAGCCAGGAGCTTCTTCCAGGTCTTCCATGTGGGTTCAGGGCCCTAAG